TTTTTAACGAAAACTGTCGAAAAAAAATTCTACACGACAACAACCTTAATAAAAAATACCTTATACAGTATTACGCTGCTTCTCGGAATTTATTTATTCACTTGCAGCCGTATTCCAATAGTATTCAATACTATACGGAGAGAAATTTTGAATAACAATTATCCTGACCGTAGAACAAAAGTGCATCATGAGTTATACTTTCAACGAATCCTTATTCTAACTCATAATCTGAAGTTTAATCATTAGCCATTGTCAGTTTTTCAGTAGTCAGAAGTGTCGCAATTTTTTGGGCTTACAACGTAATAAAAAACCTTGAATTATAAAAAATGGAAGAGATCATCAAGATCAATAGGGTGTCGAGCACATTTTCTTTTGTTATAGTTCAAAAAAAGTCTTCAAGCGTACAATTATCGACCCGTAACGCTGTAATCTTTCCCCTTTGTGCAAAGTGGTTGTCAGTCTTTGCCTGATTAAGAACGAATTCCAATCGTCCCCTTTCTCCTTAAAATCAGTAGTTTTCAAATTCTTCAGTTCACATCTACAACAAGCCCCATACATCCCAAAAATCCAAACTACCCCTGAATAATTAATTTCATGATATTTGTTCATTTCAACAAGTGTATTCTGGGTTATCATTTCGTCAAGATGGCAAATGTACTAGTCGCATAACTGGAAGACTTCAGGTTCATATTTCGGCTAGGTGCAGTTGAATTTGTTCGCCCCGACATTTCAACTGTTTGAATCCGTGAAATATTTAATGTGGAATATTTTTTACTGTAATTTGTACGTTATGCGTGTTGCATATTTGACTTTTATGATCATCACCATAATTTTACGTTCTACAATCCATTAATGTATTGAATGATGCATAATTTAAATCATTATGAAATTCTATTTCAATTCGAGATTTTTATTGATTTTGGGCGATAGTTTTTGATCTAAAACTTGTCAACGGATAATTCTCAGATTATCATTAAAAGATAATACCTCCCCAATCATGAATAATGGCGTGTGATGAGCATAAATTCATTGTAGTATCTACATTTCCTGCCATTTTTTCATAACCGTCAATTAGAATTTATAATGACTCATATTACTTGTAATCGGTGCGTGTATGGATAATTGGCAAATGATCTTCTCAAGACTCATCTATGCATATATGTTGAAACCATGATGGGATAAGTGAGATGATTAACATTTTTTTCAGAAGAAAAAAATTTACAATGATGTTTCATGCTCCTTCCATATTTCTATCTAAATTCTGCAACGTCGAATTCGAAAACCAGATTTTATAATGCCAATTATTGAATTGGTTCTGTTTAAAATTATCATTTTAATCTTGAAATTTGTGTATTGGCTATCGTACATTTCAAGTAATGGAATAGAGGATTATATGGCCAATTAACGCACAAAAATTCCAACATAAACGAATTTAACGAAGACAATCAATGCAGTTGTCAACAAACAGATTGTGTATGAAAATTGATTTTACGAGAAATCTCCAATAGTAGAAGAACAGTACAGTCGATTGCATCAATGAAAGTATAAATATCAATCAGTAATACAGCATATTTCATGAATAACAAAAAATCAAAACATATATGTTCAATTTGTATATGTTACGAGAATCCGTACCGCGCGCCAACGCGCGGATATGAAACGATTTCTGTAAAAATCTGTTACAACTTTGTAATCTCGCGCCATTTTAAACGGACCAATAAGGAATCGTGGCTTCATGATTTCGAGATTTTCGAGATAATCGATTGTGTCAAGCGTGTTCCTTTTAGAATAGGAAATCATCCAGTGTTGAAATGGCATGTGTTGAATTTCCGTGTGTAATTTACACCTGTAACCAGAATAGACTGTTATATTATAAGACCGATAAAATTATTTTCCATAAATACGACTTCATAATCCGAAATGAATAGCGAGATATCGAATGATCCCATTGTTGGTCAGGTTTTGATAAGTCGTTGTTGAGGTTGGACCGATCAACTAGTACCTGATGAGGAATTGATTAAGTTTTGATTTAGTAGAACTGACCCGAAACATTCTGATTAAGTTTTGATTCGGCCAACGTAATCTGAATTGCAGATTCGTCCGCTTGGAATAATACATAGTGGTCAGGCTCGAAGTAGATCGAACAGATCTGAAACTGAATAGTCCATCTACATATTGCTCTGATCGAATTCGGGTTATGTGGACCCCATCCTGCACTGTGATTGCTTGCGATCATTTTGATCAATTTCTGATGAGTCAAAGTAATTTTCAGTTAGGGCTGCTACTATCAAATTATAGTCAAATTATCACACTATAGAATACATCGTATCGTTACATCGTATCTTAGGCTGAAGTCCCTCTACTTGCAATTATACGAATTACGTATGCATAAGCTCTGCTAAATCTTAGATATTCTGAACTTAATTTAATCTCATTTGGATCGGGTCCACCTGATCTCAATTTGAATGAGTCTCCTCCAAGTATTTTTTTTTTTTTTTTTTTATATTATTCCGGCCCTTTCTGCCCTGTTCTGGCTAATTGGCCCTATCTCACCCTATGCATGCGGCTGTGGATCCTACACTGTACCGTATTCACTCTCCTATGGAACATAGGAGTGACATGGGAAACCACAGAAAAAACCATGTCGGTACACACGGTTGCTGCTCTATTAGCAACCTCCCGCTCATCGGTGCCTGTTGAAAAATTCGATTCAACGGGGAATCGAACTCACAACTTTTAGAACACTAGGCTCGCACCTAGCGACTGAGCTACCGACGTCGGTGACCTCCTCCAAGTATTGAATATCACTTTTTAAATGTCACATATTTGCTACTGAAGCCGTGTTAGCAAGTACATGCCATACGTATCAAGGGTATACACAACTTATCATGTATCTCATGCATACACCAAGTGACCATTGTCTCATTAACCGGAGAAATATTCTTCGATTTATCCTCACCTCTGATCTAATAGGCTTTTATGGCTCGGGCTCCTGAGGCTCCGACTTGGCCGATGTCTGCTTCAGAGCAGGGCCCGGCAACCTTCAGGTAGCCGGTAGCCAGCCTATTACTATGACCGGAATAATCTCCAAATCCTAATGGACACCCAATTAGCCAACCTTTGTTTGCAAATGAATCGACAAATGAGTCGACCCAAAATGGCTGACCGGCCAATATTATCGCAATATTTCAATTTCAAATTTCAACTATAAAATTGACAAATTGAATTATATTAATAAAAATATTTCGGAAATGGTTTTCGGCAATTATTATTTTTTTTCCAATTATTGCAACTTTGAATGTGAAAAATAAAAATGCGTCGCGGTTTCACTATGTGATAATGCATCATATAAACCGCTATTTCCAGTGAGCATCGTCATTCCTAGAAAAGATCGGGCCCACTTGTAATTTATTAGGAGCAATCGCAGGTCTATCTTTCAGTCTTTCAATTACTGATAAAAACGAACAATTAATAAATTTTTATCA